TCAAAATGCACAAAACAACACAAGAAACTATTTTTGGTATTTTATCAAACAGTTGGTGTGCAAGAAATTTATATTTAAAAGAAACTTCGTTGGAATTGGGTTTCATGAATCATATGAATATAAAACTCTGTTCAATATTTCATTACTTCATTCAAACATTCACATCAAGGCATACTAGTCCTAATTCCTTAGCAACTAGTTCTAAATTAATATATTAAAATGATAATCCCTTAGTCAATTTAATATACAATTTGCATTAAGTCTGATGTTACGAATGATCAAGTTATTGAGTCTATCCCTAGATCTCAAATCACTTAAGTGCTCTATCTACGTTCGTTCATGTTCAAAGTTACTTTCCAGTAATCAAAGACATTCAAATAACATTATATTTTCATACAATGATAATAAATTCAAGAAAGAGCATATGAACGAACAACGATATATTGAACAGGAAAATTGCATCACAGTGAGTTCATTACATCCAATCCCAACGAAAGAGAAATTTAACTACTCCTAGTCATCTAAAACGTACACATTTGAAGCAATCCCTTGCAACAATGGTGTCTTGATGCCTTGAAGTAGTCTCCGGAAGTTCCTGAGATGTTTTCGTTTCTTTCTTTAGTCTGGAATTTCTGTCCGAAGAGGATGTTTCTGTCGCTCTGTCACGTCTTTTAAAGCCACTTAAATTCATTAATTCGCTCAGCGCACATGTACTGGTGCGCTATGCGAATTTTCTTAATTGCTGCACTTTAACTGATGTTATTCGCTCAGCGCACAGGTACTGGTGCGCTATGCGAATTTTCTTCTTCTGGCAGTGCGAATTTTGGCTTTCGCTTTGCAAAAATTGGTTGACAGAGTCTAAATAATACATCATTTCCTGTACAATATTTTACATAACAATCTACTACCTATTACAACTTTTCAATGAGGAACAACATGAATTAAGCTCATTTATAAATATAAAAACAACTCTTTTTCACACTTATCACTTGTGTAGATCCAAAATGGACTAATGGTAGGCTGGATACAAGTGGCCATGGTAGGAGGCAATCTAAGAGGGAACATGTAAGGGATACAGATGGACTATCGGTGGACTCTTTGCAATCGCCAAAATGATGGGGGGCACAAACGTAGGACGCCTATGTTATGATGAGTTTTGCGTTGGAGGTCGCGGCTTGCTTGGCCACCTCCGCCGGAGTGTAGAAGGGGTTAACGGTAGTGATGGTGGCGCCGCAGAAGAAGGAGCCCAGGAATGCGAAGACTGACTGGGGCCAGTTCTGGAGGAGAAGGAGGATGATGTTGCCGTGCCCTAAATCTATTTTTCCCCAATTAAAAAAACCTTACACATCAACTTCCAACTATGTAACATGTCACCACATATACAACTTTAAATTGACACGTTACCACTTTACTATGCCAGATCATCAATGCCTTAACTCTGTTT